TTTTCAACTCTTTTATACAGGGTGTTTATAAAGACCCGGACCCATTTTGATGTTTAATAACTCATAAAATAATAGAGATAGATTAAAATTAATAACATAAATGGCTAGATAGACTCAAAAAGTTTCACGACCCTTGTCAATGAACTTCCACGTGTGCCCCTTTCGTCGCACGGAGAATATCAAGTAGATAGTAAATTTCACGCCAGGTAGCGGCAAGCATGTCGGCATCCACAGAGGCTATTGCGGTTTTCTGAAGCGCATAATGTTCTCCGACGAAGCATCCTTTCATGTTTCTGGCATTGTTAAAATCGCCATAATGTGCACATGTGGGGATCTGAAAACCCCCATGAGTACCGTGAGACACAAAGGGATTCCCCTAAGGTCAATGTGTGGTGTGGACTAATGCACGACCGAGTCATTGGGCCTTTCTTTTTTACAGAAAAGACGGTCTCATCAGTCGTATACTTAGACATGTTGGAAAACTTCGTATTTCCACAACTAGAAGAGCTTCAGCCACATGTCTTTTTGCAACAGGATGGTGCACCACCTCATTGGGGTATCATGGTTCGTAGTTCTTTGAATGACCATTAGGATGAATTGGGCGAGGAGGTTCAATTCCTTGGCCCCCCAGATCACCTGATATAACCCCGCTGGACTTTTTCCTTTAGGGATTTATAAAGAACAATGTTTACAGGAGGATCGTGTCGAACATTGATGACCTAAAGGCCAGAATTACAACCGCAATAGCCTCTGTGGTTGCCGACATGCTTGCCGCTACCTGGCGTGAAATAGACTATCGACTTGATATTCTCCGTGCGTCGAAGGGGGCACACGTGGAAGTTCATTGACAAGGGTCATGAAACTTTTTGAGTCTATCTAACCATTTATGTTATTAATTTTAATCTATCTTTATTATTTTATGAGTTATTAAAAACCTTAAAACGGATCCGGGACTTTATAAACACCCTGTATTCCCTTCAGTAATCAAAGAGGAGTAGCTATTTTCAGCCCTGCCATTCTTAACTATGATTTCGATAACGTTTTTGTTTTTTTACGTTTTTGCTTCCTCGTTGTTTTTTGCTTTGTTACAATTCTTCTACTTCATTTTCGACTGGGATTCTAAAACTGTACTCGATCCAGACTGTACTCGACAAACTGTACTCTAGGACGGTCTATCCAGAGCACTCAAAACCGTGAGGACTTGAGTTGCGATGCCACGAATCTGATGAAGGGGAATTTTAGGACACGTTTTCGGTAAAGTTTTAACATCAAATTAATATTTTTGCTTGTTCAAACCTGAGTGATAAAAAATAATTAAATTTAAAGGATTTTAAACATTTTGACGTGATTTTCAACGTAGAAAGGGAAGAGTTAAAGCGGTTATTATTGTTCTCATAATACTGTGCTTAGCAGAAAGACATTATATTGAAATGTTATAGAACCCACATAGACAGAGGATCCTCGCTTCATAATACCTTTTAAAAGAAGATTCCACTCTTTCAGCTGTAAAGATAAATAATGTTTAATAAAGTCTCAGAAAAGAAAACCGAAAAACACCAATCGGCTTTGTTAATGTCATAAGGATTCACTGATCTGAGAAGATTTCTTTTTTTAAGATGTTTTAAAGAAAATTATTCACGCAGTTGAACACATTTTGTTCCATAATGCATATGACAGACGATTTCGTGTTTGGTTTGGCCCCGCCCTTCTTGCAGATGTGCTGGGACACTTTTGCGACAATATTGTAGAGTACATGTCACTCAAACATTAATCGGACATAAGATTTGTAGTACATTTTATAAAGAGTCATTATTTTAGGGTGCTTGGACGTTACAAAGTAAGTCATTTTTTAGAGGATTTATGATTTATAATTCGTAACATTTTTATTGGTATATCACAAGGAAGGTCAACAAAATAAAAAAATTTGAAAGAATAATAATATGAAATAATGAAAAGAATTAGCTAAACTTATCGGACCAATGAAATGTTAACACTAAAGTAATATTTTGTCAATATTAATTTATACTTTTCAAATCTTTACTTAGTCCGTTTAATGGATCGCGTTTAATACATTACTTGTGTCTTTACGGTAATATTGAAGAATACACGTTACTCAAACATTAATTAGACAGTAGATTTGTGGTACATTTTAAAAAGAGTCATCATTTTAGGATGATTGGAAGTTTTAAAGTAAGTCCTTTTTTAAAGGATTTTTCATTTAAAATTTACATTTTTATAGAATATTAAAAAAAAAATCAGCGAGATGAAGACTTTTGAAAGAACAATAATGTGAAATACTAGTCAAATTTAGATGAACTTGTCGGTCCAGTGAAATGTTATCATTAAAATAATAATCTCCAAACATTAGTATACATTTTTTAAATTATTTACTTAGTTCGTTTGAAAAATATGATAATATTCTGTCTTTGGAATAATATGTTAGAATAAACGTTACTCAAACATTAAACGGACATTAGATTTGTGGTCTATCTTATAAAGTATCAATATTTTTGGCTCTTTAAAAGTTAAGCCGCGTACTAAGTTATTTTTTAAAAGGAATTTATGATTCATAATTAGAAATATTTTCATTGATGTATTAAAAAAATTGCAGATCTAATGAAATGCTATCATCAAAGAAATAACTTAGGTTATATTAGTTTATATTTTTTAGTTATTTACTTAGTCCATTTGATAGGTGTAATAATATTGCATCTTTGCAATAATATGATAGAATAAAAGCTACTCAAACATTTATCGGACATTAGATTTGTGGTACATCTTATAAAGTGTCAATTCTTTAGTTCTCTTTAGAAGATAAGTTTCATAGTAAGTGATTTTTTAAAAGAGTTAAATGATTTATAATTTATAATATTTTTATTGGTATATTAAAAAAGTTCAGAGTAAGAAAATATTTCGAAAGAATAATGTGAAATACTGGTCTAATTGAGACGAACTTATGAATCCTGTGAAATCATTAAAATAATAATTTGTTAACAATATTTTATAGTTTTTTAATTATTTACTTAGTCCGTTTGAAAGATATGATTATATTGTGTCTTTGGAATAAAATAATAGAATAAATGTTACTCAAACATTAATCAGATATTAGATTTGTGGAATGTGTATCTAATAAAGTATTAATATTTTTGGGTCTTTAAAAGTTACGCCTCATACTAAGTTATTTTTTAAAAGGGATTAATCATTTACAATTTGCAACATTTTTATTGGACATTAAAAGAAAGTTCAGTGTAAAGAAGTATTTTGGATGTGTAACAATGTAACATTTGACAACTTCAGATGAACTTATCGGTCCAATTAAATATATCACTACCGAATATAAAGTATTTGCTTGCTAAAGTTTAAACTTCCTTTACTCCGTTTAATATATTGTAGTTAATTTCAAAATTCAGTTCTATTATCTGCCAAAAATATACTCTCCTGCACAGTACGTATTTTATAACATAATACAACATTTTTTATAATATTAATAGTCGTTATAATAATAGTTATAATAAATAGTAATAGTAATTATGATATTAATCATGGTGCAATTAATGATTTGTTATCGTTTGGTAGTAAGTATTTGTTAAAATAATAAATAAATATGTAAATGGAAAGAAAACTTTTTCTCTTTTTAAATATAAATAAGTATTTGACGAAGTTTGAACATTAAGACAGATTGGAAAGCTAAAAGAAGGGTAGATAAAATGCATTTCAAAGAAGAAAAAAGATTTCTAAAATGTTCAATTAGTATCCACTTAATTTTTTTATGTTGTTTTCTAATGTTGTGTTCAGCATAAATATTTTAGAAAATCTAAAACAACAAAAATAACTTCTTAACATTATTTACTATGTATCTAATTGCATAATTGCTATTAAAATACATTTTTAATTTGGATTGACAAATTCGTACTCTGTAAAAAATTCCAGATGTTATTACCGTAAAAAATAGCTGCACTCAAGATGCCGGTACTTTTTATCGTAAAATCAATTTTTACCGGAACAAACAATGTGATATATTGTTATTTTTACAATGGTAATTACAGTAAAAGACGCCCGGTGGCTGAGCGGTAGCGCTGTCGTGCCACAGGTCCATGGTTCGATCCTCGGGCCGGACAAGGTTGACTCAGCCTTTCAACCCTTCAGTGGGTCGATAAATGAGTACCAAGCATGCTTGGGAACTAAACACTACGGGTTCTGCGTTCGACTGACCACCTGACCGGAACATCTGCTCCTGCACAAGACCGGACCACAAGACTCCAATGGTCAAGAAAACTGAGATGGGCACAGTAGGCCTTAGCCCTCTAGGGCTGTCGCGCCGCTGAGTTTAGTTTAGTTCAATTACTGTAAAATCACTGAAGCACTCTAATTAAATAAATATTTCGATAGAAATTACGGTATAGTATTTCACAGTAAAGTGTCGGTACTTGTTATGTACAAGTGTCGGTACTTGACTGTTTGATTCGAAATTTTTAATAGTGTAGCTTGTTATTGTTTCACTTTAAGTTCTTCTAGTACAAATGGTTTTTTTTGCATAAGGATTTACGAAATTAATTTTTTGAAATTGCAGATTAAAAAATGAAAATCGTTTTATTTGTTGAGATTGTGAGCATCTTTTTCGAATTTACAAGTGGAGAGTTATATTCCGCACTCGCTGGGATGGAGGCACTTCTTGACACGCAGAAAGCCATCATCCGAATTTTGGATCGTTACATTGATTTGACTGAGAAGAAAACTGCAAAATTAAGAAAGTAAGAAAATTCATTTACTTTTCATATTTTCAAATTTATATCGAAGAAAAAAATAAAAATAATATTTTTAAAAACCACGTTTTTGTAGTGGAGAATAATAATTAAAAAACAAAAATTTGAAAAACGAAAAGCTTGGGGGCGCATGAAATACATTACAGTAACAGTATGTGTGCTCATGAGAAAATGTGTATGTATATCTGTAATTGTATCTGAATGTGGATGTGGTTGTGCATGTGTATGAGTAAGAAAATGTGTATATGTATGCGTATATGTACTGTCATGTATTTCATGCGCCCCCAAGCTTTTCGTTTTTCAAATTTTTGTTTTTTAATTATTATTCTCCACTACAAATACGTGGTTTTTAAAAATATTATTATTATTATTATTATTTGTACTCACTTCCAAAATCTCAATTTTTTCACTCACTGTACACAAAACCTTTCAACTGACATGTGACACTAATTTGAAATAATAGAATCGACAACAAAAGACAATCGCGAAAATATTAATTTTTCCTCAATTTTAATTTAATTTTACTTTATATGTCTTTTTTTTCTTCATTTTCATGCATTGTCATCCAATTCTGAACTATGTTATTATGTTATTAAATTTGAATTATGTAGCTAGTCGGGAAGTTAGTTTAAAATCGATTACAAAATTCCACCAGAACAGACATACACGAAGGCAAATTGATATAAACGTGGTAAAAATATTTTAATCAAAAAATGAAATGAAAAAAAGATTGAAAAAACTAAAAGTCGAAAAAAATATGGTCGCAGACAACCGTACCACAAACTATAGGCATATAATTTATTTTATCCATTCATAATCGATTTTATGTTCCATTAATTTGCTCATTCGCTAACTGCCCGATTCACTTATTTACTAATAAGTCTATCCCTTGATTCGCTAATCACTGATTCCCTCATTCTTAGTTAGTTCTTTTCTACATCAAGAATCATTCATTGTAACGGTTTCAATGTTATTTTTACTAAATACTTGCCTTCTGCTCGCTCCGTTCACCGACCCACTTGATTGCCTCTCCGTTATTTAACATTAATTCATATTTTCCTCCATCATATTATCTAATAATACATCTTATTGCAATTATATGCGTGAATCAAAATATCTTCACATCAATATTTTTGTATTGTAAAGTGAACAGACATTGACAGAATCGCAAATACTGTAATTTTAAATGTCCAAATCAGAAATTTGAACGAAATCGGCTGAATGGTTGCTGAGAAATAATAATAATAAAAAAACAAATTTGAGCATTTGAGATTCTTAATTTCTTTATAACTAAAAAAAAATATAATTTGTATAACCAACAATTTTGAATTTTTCAATCATAATTATATTTTAATAGCAAAATATTACTGATAATTATTATAACAATTTGTGTTAAATTATACTTAAGCAAACGAGTTCTATAAATGAGTGTAATGATATATTAACTGCGCTTTTAGATTCAAAGATATGGCAATCGAGGCAAAAATTAGAAATAATGCTTTCGCTAGGTGATCCAAATAAACAATTGGTGCCACATATTTCTGGTACCCCACTTCTCAACTTGGTATTCGCAAATCAAAAATTTAAAAGTTTTTTATAAAAATTATATATTTTTTAATTTTTTTTTTTTTTAAAAATAAATCTTTTCTGAGAAAGTATCGTTTTGGTCTTCGGTAATTTATAATCTATAGTTAATTGTCGCATCCCTAAAACCATTATAAAATTGCGTCCTTAATCCTTAAAAATAAGACCATTTAAGAAAACCTAATCATGCTGTTATTCTAATGCACTGCTAAAAAAAATTTTTTTTTTTCATAGGATAAGAGAAGATTACAGCTATTTGAAAAAAGTTTCGAGTAATAGCTTTCAAGATTTTATTTCGAATCCAATAAATGCTTTTGCTTTGATGAAAAAGTTAACAGTAGATTGGGATGAAGTAAAACGAGAATTAAATCGCTCTCCAATGAACGGTAAGCTAGCTTTTATTCATTCTAAATAAATGCTTCTTACTTAATAGTGAAAGCACGGCTTCAATTACCAGCTAATTAATTAATTATTTCTATTCATATTTTATAATCTTAAACTCAAGGTATTTATATTCTTTATCATGCCGTCCGGCCTGAGTAGGGGTCAGGGAACTAGCCTTGCATCAGAAAGTTTCTGAGTTGGAATCTCGGGCAAAGCATGGAAGTTCTTTCATTCTCTGTTCTATGTGTCTTTACTGTGGGAGCAACGTTGTCTCACCTAATATTATGCCCTTGAAAGAGTGTCCAACAAATCTGCCCTTCAGATGTCTGCATGACGAAAGTTCCTTCTCCAGGTGGGCATTGGAAAAAAATATTCTTTAGCATTTTTTCATCATCAACTTTTGTCACACAAAGAGTTATTTTGAAATCAACGCTGCTCGTTAAATATTGTTTTACTGTTAGAGCAGATAAGTCAACGCATAAAATACAACATAATTTTGGGTTTTTAAAGTGGGCAAAACTATTGGATAAACTAAGAGTTATCTTTCAAATGTCCCGACAGCCCTGTGTAGGGGGCAGGGAAATGTTCTTGCATCAGAAAGGTTCTGGGTTCGATTCCCGGGCAAGGCATGGATGTTCTTTTTTTCTCTGTTCTATCTGTCCTCATTGTGGGTCCGACGTTGGCCCATCTAATATGGTGTCCGTGAAGAGGAGGTCAACAAAATCGCCCTGTATATGCCTGAATTGACAGATGTTAACACAGGTGGGCATTGGAAAAATAAATAAAAATCTTTCAAATGTAATCACTTGAGTTTTAATAGGAATTGAATATAATAATAGAATCGGATTGACAAATTAATTACTAATAATAAGATTGAAAATTTAAATAACTTATTTGATAAGTTAAGAACTTATGAGATAACAAAATAATAACAAGATTAATTTTTTTTAATAACGGCAGGCACTGAACTTTCGCTCTTCGCCTAAGAAGATGCCGGAAGTGTTGCTCATTTATCGTTACCCAGTGGGCACCTGTGAACCAAAGTCACGGAGGCGAGCAACATTACCCACGCCACACTGCCACAAATACCCTTTCATAGGGTGGGCCACAATCACACATCAGAAGACAACAGAGAGAGAGAAAGAGAAACATCCATGCCCAGAGCGGGATTCGAACCCGTAGCCATTGGCTTCGCAGTCAGGCACGCTAACCACTCGGCCACCTGGCCGGCATAACAAGATTAATAAACTAAGGAAAAATATGATTTAAAAATTAAATATTAACAGGACAGAAAAAAAAATGTATTCTGTTGTATTCAACTCTTAATTCTACCATAGAGTTACCATAGAATTAGGATTGATTACACAGGGGACTTAATCTTGTCTAATTCGGATGTGGGTATCTCAAATCTGAAATTAGTTTTGCCCCTAAAGCTACAGATTTTTCAATGAAATTTTTAATCTATTTTTTTTCCGAAATGTACAAGTTTAATAACCTTATAAATATCAAGGTGTCATGTTAATGTTAAGGCAAAGTTCTAGTAGATTTAGGGCACATCATCAGGATTAAAAGTCCATAAAAACCCACGCCATGAATTGTCACCGTCCATGACCAGATTCGCTTCCCTATTAAGACCTGTTCAGAAGCACACGAAGATACTGCTCATGACAGGGAAGCGGCCTATGACGATATTTCCGGGTATGAGTTTTTATGCAATTTTAATCCTGATGATGTGCCCTAACTACCCTAGAAGTTTAACGCAACATATATAACGTTTTTAAACTAGAACATTACGACAAAAAATGTCATTCTTAAAAATAAATTTAGCTCAGAGAGAGAAACTGATTGCGGATTTGAAATCAGCGATGCGAAAGCTCTAAGATCTGTTAAAAAAATGTCATGCATCAGAAAAAAATTGCTCTCTAATGTAATTATATTAGTAATAGGATTGATAAACGTCGACCAACCTCTTATAAAATAGATGATCAAGCTTGGGATGAATTCACTAGTTGATATGATCTCTGTTTTGAACAATTCAAATTACAAAAGTTGTTAAAAGGAGACTAAAGGATTGATAAGCGTCCACCCATTTTTTGTTGTTATTGTCGTACCAGTAAGGCAAGGGGCTGCGATTGTTCTTGTTTTCCAGTGGCGTCATCTATGGCCGAGAATTTGACTTCTGCCGCACTCATACGTCACATCCGTTTGTAGGGCGGGTTCATTCATACATGCATTCATTCATCTACAGATCGTAATTTTGATCTGAACCAGAGAACAATCAATGTACAATTCAGTACCCCCAGAGTTATAATTTGTTTGTTACGGGAACATAGAGGACTTTGTGACCCGACATATTAGTCTTGCACCAGTCACCATTTACTACACGGGGAGTCTTCGGCTCCCGTTCTTACAAACGTGCCAACCAAGCTTTCCCGGCCCACTTCAACCCACTTTCAAAAACATAGATTAATAAAGTTTGGGTTGCACCTTTAAAGTTAGTAATTTCTATTCCTGCTACTTTAAACTATTTAAAATTGTTGAGAAAAAAGCTTGTTAGCAGAAATGGTCCTTAAACTGCTCATTTATTATTATTAATTTTTAGAAATTCATGAAGATTCAGTAATATTTCCTGATGAAAATGATTTAAGTGGAGCTGCCAAAGCTTTATTGCGAGTGCAGCAAACGTACAACTTGAAAACCGCAGAACTTGCTGACGGAGAAATACATGGTGCGCCAAGTGGTCTGCGACTTACAGGTATTTTAATAGAAATATACAATAGTTATACTTATTGGAAAATCAGTAGTTATACTTATTGATTTTACAAACATTTTTTTAATTGATCCAATTATTAGCTGATGACTGCTTCGAAATTGGAAGGCAAGCATTTCATTCTGGGTTTTATGAAAATGCAATATCATGGCTGGAAAATGCAAAGAAAAAATTCGAGGACAGCAACGGAGAAGTAATAAATAGCACTGAAGTGTCCAGGTATCTAATGTGGTCCACATACGCAGTAAGTTCCATTTTTAATAGATAAGGTATTAGAGTAGTTAAGAGTGAAATATATCAAACAAATTTAGGTAATATAATGCGTAGAAGATATCAAGCAATTTGAAAGTTATGTATGGTTGACAGCGTAAACCTAATCACAGGTGGCGCTGCGGGTTAAAATTCGTCGTAAGACCTCCGGCTTACTATTTCCGACTGATTTTTGCGCGTAAGCTGGTAAAAACGCGCCATCTAATATTATTATACTTATAGTGTTTTCAATATAACGCTTTCTTTCCTCGAAACGCGCAACAAATGAATTCGAAAGATTCCGAAAGCTTGCTCTGCCGCTACCCAAATGAAATAACAAACGGAGTTTTCACAAATACAGTCGGACCTCTATTTAACGAAGTCGCTAAATCCCTATAATAAGTTCGTTTTATGGAAAATTCGTTAAGTAGAAAATCACCTTTTGAAATACTTAAACAACACAAAACAGGTTTTAAATTCATAAATACAAGGCATAATTTAAATAGCAATTGATGCACCTTTATCTTGTTAACTAGTATTTACTATTTATTTTATAAATCTTAACCATAAAAGAAATTTTCATGGAAGGCAAGATTAGAGCAAAACATTATCCAGTGTTACACTATCATGCTACATACATTTTCAACTAAAAAATGCATTTACTGCAAAATTAATTTTAAACATACATTACCTCATGCGTTCTTTAGTTTAATTGCTACTGATAAAATCTGTTCATTTTGTTTGAGTTTTCCGTTTGAAATGCAAACAAAAAGGGAAAGGGGGGTTTTGCTGCTTTCTCTAAAAGTTAAGTGGCTTCGAAAATCAATTCAAAGTCATTTCCCTCATAAAATGCGTCAACAAGTTTGAAATGTTCTATAATATTTTGGGAAATAGGGAAAGTGGATCTCAAAGAAAAGTTCGTTAAATAGAAAATTCACTTCGCTACTTAGAAGTTATTTTACGAAGAAATCGCAAAATAGAATCGCAAACTAGAGAAAAAAAATCTAAAAATAAAGAAATTTTCAAAATGGAAGTTCGTTAAATAGAAGTCCGACTGTGTAGCCGAATAAGGGCTAACACTTAAACCATGACACTTTATTTATGCTGCGATATTCTTAAACTTGTTTTAGGCTCTCTACCTGTTAGAATTTGTAAATTACAGAAAACTCTTATGAACAGTAAGACTACGTGTAAATGTAAACAAAAATCACAAGTCTAAAACTTCCCAGAATATTAAGCCTGATCACACATCGTCTCGTAAGCATAACATGAGCGGAGTGATACACCGGAAATTTTCTAAATTTCTAACCGCTTTTAAGAAGCTTGTTATTGTTTACATTCAGTCAACCACACATAAAGCATATGCATAAGAAAAATACATTCATGGAATTTTTCATTAATAGCAAGTATATCATTACTTTGTTTCTTTTATTTTCAGAAAGGCAGATTTTCTCTTTTGCAGTTGACTAATAGTTTGCTCCAATTGAGTAAGTGTGTTTAAATTATAAAATTAATCTATGATATCGTTTATATGAGCTTGTTTCATCCAAACACCGATAAGTAGAAAGATTTTTTTTTTCCACTAAGAATTTTCTTTATCTTTTTGTAAGACATACACTTTGAAGGTAAACTGTAAATTCATATCAAAATGACAGTCGAAATATCAAGTCTCAGAAGAAAATGAGACTGAAATTCAACATTGAAGTAAATATTTATTTAGCGCAAATACTGACGTGGAGTGAAACTTTGCACCATGCCATTTCATTTACAAATATTTGCACCTCGAATTGCGGTGCACAAATATTTTGCACCACAATTCTTTTGCATCGATATTTTCAACAAGCGCCATTCATTAAAATGGTGTTAGGATTGCATTTATAAAACTTTTATAAAACTCATTTGCATTTATAAAACTTTACCTGAAAATGGCAGAAAAAAACTTCAAATTAAAATAAAATTGAATTTTAATATTACGTTGGACTCTTCAGAATTTGTCTATCATCCTTCAAAAACGTTTACTTTTTTTAAAAAAGAACAAATATATACTACCAATTTTTAAGGTAGTATAGTTTTTGATATATAGACAACTTTTTGTGCCTGGGCATAAATGAGCTAATTTTATAAGTTTGCACCAGGAAATTAAAATATATGAACAGTACTCTTTAAAAACCAAGCTAAAATATTCCAAGATAAAATAAATCCCATTCGCGTCATCAACAACAAAACTAATTTCGATTTTTTTCCATAGGTTTCATGATGGCACCATCTTTAGATAGTTTTGCATTTACAAATAGTGTTTCCTTGGATAAAGAAGATTCTAACAATGGTTTTTTGACTCACACAACACTTTTTGACGAAGCAAGTTACAGACAACTGTGCCAGTCCAGCATGCGAACTGTTACACCTGTAAGATTGCATTAATTTTACTTGATATTTAAGGGGACATGGTTTTTATTAAAAATTACCAAACTTTCAAAAAGAAAATTTCTTAAAAGTTAAGAAATTTTATTCTTGTTATTCTTTACAAACATGTTTATCAATAAAAGAATTTTTAAAGATATTATAACCAAACCATATTTTATTTCATAAACGTCTTTGAACAGTCGACTCAATTTCGAGTTAACAACTACCAATGTTCAACTCCGTAGCCCTGTAATTTTGAACCCAATCCAGGAGATAAGGGAACGCTTTGATCTTTGATCAAGTATTGGGAGAAATTTGACTTCTTGAAGAACTTTTTGATGGAACCCCCCCCCTTTTGATGGATACCAGCATTTGCGTTACATTGAGAGGAAAACCAGGAACACCTCACACGATTAGCCTGACAGCAAGGGGAGTCCAACCCATGATCCGTCAGAGAATATTTAACCAGAGAATATTTAACGTCAGCACTGTGGTCGGTATGAGCCGACTGCTGAATTCGTATCGATCAACCATCGCTGCAATTCGTACCTACTATACCTCATTGGGAGGCGAGCACTCTATCCCCTGAGCCACCATGGCTCAACCAAATCCTATTAGAAAAAATCCTTTTAGAAATCCCATTAGTCTAAATTTCTTTATTAACTTTCCAAAAGGTTTGCATAAGCTTTATACGAAGAGTAAATTAAGTAAAGAGACTGGGACGTAACGATGACGTGATCTAACATGTGGCAATGAACAACTAGTCAAGTTTTCATTTTGTGACGTAGTTAACTGTTAACCGGAGTCAACTGTTAACTGTTAACCGCAGTTAAGTTAACTGCAATTTGATCAAAAGCAGGTTCCGAGAAGCGTGTGAAGAGGTTTTCATTCCCCCATAAATGAACAAAGGAAACCTCGTTACGTGATAGAACCATTTGAACCTCTTTCCTTGCTTAGAAGATCACCTTACTAATGAGGCCTGTTATGAGGCAAACATTCAAAACGAAACAGTTAGGAAGCTCCGCCCCATTCGAGCTGTCAATTTTTGATCCACCAAACTAGAAATGGAGGTAAATAAAACTATCTTGCACGTTCATGCAAATGTGAACAATGTAGATTAAAGTGATTATCCGATGTCATCTTCTTCTTTTTATCAATCATTTTTTGTAGTGCGCTCTGAAAATGAGTGACATTAATATGAGGCGACGTTCAGTTTTGGACACATTGCAGTGGAAACTTTTGCATAACTCCAGCAGGCAGTATTTGCTCTAATATGCCTTAAGATATGATTTTCTAAACTCTGCAGTTATTTTTAATAATAAATTACAATCTCTTCATTCCCTTCCATAGTTGTATTCCAGTCAGTTGAGCTGTCATCTATTATCACATCACCCCTATTTATTATTGCAACCTATAAAAGAAGAAAAACTTTGGAAAGAACCAAAAATATCAATTTTTCATGACGTCATCTCTGAAAAAGAAATAGAAATAATGAAAACATTAGCATTGCCAGTAGTAAGTAAATTGTCTCTAATTTATTCAGTACTCTAATTTATTCAAGAAGAAAATCAAATATATTTTAGAAAAAATATGCTAAATTTTAACTAACTAAAGCGATATCTAAATTTCTTAGGACATAATTTTTATTTTTTAATGAAATTTTTTCAAGAGATAATATCGATTTTAATCTCAAAATCAAAACGAATTCTAGAAATGTGTCAAAACTAAAACGTTTTGTAAAAATTTAAAATAGTGAGTTTGCTTCCAATGTTATACCTATGGATCCCAGACCAGAAATCATTGTTTTCATTGTTCAAGTTAACTGGATTCTAACGGGTGAACGAACAACATATAGTCTGTCTAAGCTAAGAACTCCTCTCGCCACAAAGTCTAAAGCCATCTGGTGCTATGGAAACAAGAATGGCGCATTTTTGGGAGGGTAGCTTCACTCTAGGATTAACACACGACCGAAGAAGGAGATTCTCTTTCTCCCGCCGACCCGAGCCGAAACCACTTCAAAACGGTGACTTCGCACCCCTACTTGAAATAGTCATACCTCGTTACCATGGTCACCGCCACAGGTTCAGACGAATGTCTGGAGGAGTTCTTATTTTAGACGGCATATGTAACGTCATCACACTTTTTCAGTTTCTTTTCGCCCTAATTGCAGTAGAGTGAAAAGGTACATTTCACAATTTGTAATTCACTATCTCTAAATCATATTATTATCTGTTTATTTCATTTTCATCTTCCTTTTTTTATATAAATTATACTTTAAACAGGTCCATACTTTATTTTTAAAAACTTCTATTAACATTCTTTAAAGAAAAATATACAAGCATTTTATAAAATTAAAATAAAGCAAACCAAACGATTAAAAAAAATTATAAAATTAATTAATAATAGATATGAAAACGATAAATTTATTCTCCAGTTAGATACATGCAAGTGACGTCGTCGTAGGTAAATCATGGCATTTATCGATTCAGAAGCCAATGGGGTTCGACACACATGCCTGACATCGCTTACAGGTATCCAACCAAATCTGATTTTAATCACATGGTTAGGCATAATCATTTCACTTCTCGAGTTGCATGTACCAAATTAGAAATTAATTAGAAATTAATTTCCGGAGCAAAGCGCTGTACACATTTCATTTTAAAAAAAGGTAATAAATTCCTCACTTTTTTACATGCTTTAGTCGTAAGAGTGGAACGTAAGTGTAATTCTAACGTAATTACACTTATTAAACTTAAAATGATTATAAAAAAAACAATTAAACATTACCGCTTTTATAAAAGGATTTTATTTAGCATATCACTCATTAGCATGATTGCTGTGTAAATTTTTCTTATAACTAAACATTTGAATAGTTATGCATTCGATGTTGTCTAGGTGATTAGCAAAGCTGATGGTATAGCATGTTAAATATATCTTTGCCATTAAAAGCTAGAGACTTAAGAAATCACTTTCTCTCAATGTTTCAAAAATAAATATTGATGTTAAGCTAAAATTTTCGCAACTGAATATTTTGATTAAATCTTTTGTAAACAATGTTATGTTTTTCATTATAAAAATCATCTTTGTTTCAGTTAGTGTAAAGTTTTTCAACAATAATTACACAGGACAAAAAAAATTAATTTTAAAATTCATTCAACTGAAATTTTGAAACGAAAATTTCTTTTTTTTAAATCTTGATGGTTGTGTCGAATATATGTCAAATATCAAAGATTAGGAACTGTAATATCGAAAACATATTAAATTTTTCTATGCCGTTTCGTAAGTTTTTTTTTTTTCGTGTTGTTGTATATCATGCTTTGTAATAGTCCTTGCCTTATTAAGTTTTTCATTCATAAATTGATTAAATTAGAAATTCATTATTATGCTTCTGTCTTATTTTAATACGTTTTATTTTTTGTTGATTTATTTTATTTTATTTTAATTTTTTGTCAGTTGCAAAGGGCTGAAGTTGCAGAATACAACAAAGGCTTGGGTCACAGAGTATCCGAAACAAGAGTTACTAAAGTGTAAGTACTAGATTCAAGTGAAAGTACTAAATCAAGTGTAAATACTACAATTCAAGTGCAAGTACTAAAATGTAAGTCAAGAGTTACTTAAGTGTTTTATAAGGGAGTTTCTTTGTGAACTGAAAATTTATTTACGATTCGGAGATCTTTGTATTTACTCCGAGTAAATGCCACTAAATTATAAAACAAATTTCATTTTCAATAGATGCAGCTTAATTTGGCTGCATTTGTCGAAGATAATGGAGGAATTTTTATAGAATGTCGCCAAGTTACACGTATGTTGATGAGATGTATAAAAAATAAGAAATGATGTTAAACAATTTTATTTTATTTTATTTTATAACCGTCGTTGAGCAGCCAAATTTTGGATTTACGATTACTTATGTTCAGCTCCGTAGCCTTGTAATTTTGAAGCTAATCCAGAAAGCAAGAGAATTTCTGGATCAAATATTGGGAGAAATTTGCCATCGTGGTGGACTTTTTGATGGAACTAACCCGCATTATACAGAAAGAAAAGCCACAAAACATTTCACGGTTAGACTAACGGCAAGGGGACTCTAACCAATGATTCGTCTACCACTGGGGACATTTTACATCAGTACTGTAATCGGTACAGAATGAATATCAATCAGCCATCGTTAGGATTCGAACCAGGTTCACCTATTTGGTAGGCGAATGCTCTATCTTCTGAGCAACCACGACTCGGTCAAACCAATTGGGTACTTGCAAATAGAGAAGAAGAAGATAACTGAAAGTAGCTGATATGTTAAATAGCAACTATTTGACTTAGTTTATTATCACATTGAATCAATTTCCTGGATAGAATTTATTGACATAAACAATTATAGTGGCATAAACAAATACCACGATTCAGGTTTCATACCCAAGCGTGACGTTATTTGCAAGTATCCAATACAATATAATAAAAATTATTATTTTAAATGTTTCTTATGAAATTATTGTATGTTTTGTTTTATGTTACAGAGCCTGGCTAAGGGAAGAGGATCATCCCTTGATTCCTAAGATGTATAGCCGTATAGAGGCTATAACAGGTCTTTCATCAAATTCCGCAGAGCCATTTCAAATGGCCAATTATGGATTAGGAGGGCATTTTCATCTACACATGGATGTTTTGGTAATCATAGTTTCCGTTCTACGTCCTTCAAAATTTTCCTAAATAAATTTAGTTTTCATAAATTAAACACATAACATAATGGCGTCTCTTTTAAACTGCACTCATGATATAATATCTTCTCACTGGGATACACAACATGACAGTGACGTATCTTCGGTTTTCATCCACACTTAATAACATGTACAACTACAAAATTTTTAAACGTTAACGTCTTTAAACATTAAAAAGGTATAAAGGTATGATAAAGTGACGAAGAGATAGTTGAAACGACATTATACAGCACAACCTAGCGGCTAAATAAGGAATTAAGAGTTCCAAACTTTGTAACTCCATTTGGTGCGAACAGACACGTTGCGCACATTAGTGACAACGAAGAATAGGCTTCCGAAAATGGATGAAAAAGTTAAAAATACCAGCATAAAATCTAGGAAGAGGAATATTTACTAAATATAGAAAAATTTACAGTGGAGTTTTAGTTAATAACATAAACGTTGACATTGGGGTATTTACTTTTTAATAATCAAATTCTTGACCCAATCAATCGATATGTTAAAGATTCTAACTTATTAGAATAATGATGATGTTGTACTTTACATATAGTGGTATTAATTCTTAAAATTAGATTAAACAATTAATATTTTATATTAATTGTACGAAAATGCTCAATTTACAAGTAAATAAAATTCGTTTACACCTTCTCTTACAGCCTGACACTGAAAATTACTTTGGGCCAAACTTAGGTAACAGAATAGCAACATGGCTAACCTATGTAAGTTTTTTTTTTTTTTTAATTTATAAGATTATCAAGCTACCAAATTACTTAAGATAAATTAGATTGAAAACAGTATTTAATTTCGCTTCTACAGTCATTTGTATGTCCAAACTTAGATAACAGAATTGCAACATGAATAATCTATGTAAATTTTCATTTGATTTATAAATTATATTTTATCCCTTAAATATTTTCATATTTGTATGTCAAAAGTTTGAGCACGTGTTTGGAGCTCATGACCAAAGCTTTAATAAATGATGCAATTTTTATCAGTCTTTGTAAAATTTGTAAAGAATAATACTTTTAATAATAATTTGTAGAAGCCAATGATCTTTTTTTTTTACATATAGTTCAAATATTAATTTTATTCAAGTAATTCAAAGGATTAATGATGTCTCAGATATAACATTAAAAAAAATAAATCAAAAAGAATGATGTGCCTTTTGTTTATTTTTATTCAGTAATTAAAATGAACTAACCAATAATGAAAAAAGTTTCATGAAAAAATTATAATTATTTGCATATAATATTAATAATGGATATAAAAGCGAAAGTGATCAAAAGACGGATCCCTCTATTCGCGATCGCAACGAACTATAGGG